GCACTATTTCGCGGATGCTGGATTTTTTTTTGACGAGCTTGCTTTCGTCGAATTGGTCTGAAAAAGGTTTCCTCATAAACGCGTACCTTGCCGAAAGGTTACGGAGTTCAGCAACATAGATTGCGCAAATTTTCCCATGAGATATCAGCTGTCTCTTTCTAGGTTTGGCCTTTTATCCGAACCTAGGACCTAGGATGGAGATAGCTATACATGTGTAGTCCGTTGGTGGTAGATGTCCCAGAAGACTTGCGGATGCGATATGGCATCTGTTGCGGCTTGTCGCTTCATACTCGGGCAGGACTAGTGCTCTGTTCGAAAATAAGGGAAAGGCCACCTCATGATACTTGGGTAAGACTGTTCGTAAAATTCATGGCAAAACGAACCATACTTGGGTAGGATTAAGCCTGAGAAAAAGGGAGCAGCCCCCTCATGATACTTGGGTGTGACTATTGCTAAATTTCACAGTAAGCAACAACCAAAAAGGAGCAAGACACCATCGTACTTGGGTAGGACTAGTGCTCTATTAGAGAATAAACTTGGGGTATGCTTATTCGTACAGATTCATGGTAAGCAGCAACCAAAAGGGAGCACCACCGCACCATACTTGGGTAAAGTTGCGGCGTTCCTCTATAGGCCGTGTGGAAGTCTTGATGGGGCAGAAGGCAAATTCCAAGATATGGGATTCTGCCTATTCCCGTGAGGCTCTCTGGGGCTGAAGAGTCAAGAAATGACGCGCAAAGCACAACTTTTCGTTTTGCAATTCTGCACCTGAAGTTGCGTGCTTCACACTGCATTTCCAAAGAATGTCGTCAAATGCCTATTTGTAGAGTAGCCCACGCAGGCCAATGTTTTGCAACACTTTTGCTATGATCTGAACGCCAGCACCTAAAAAGTCCGAAAAAAAAGGAGACATCAATAAAATGCATCGTGACCCACCCTCCGTAGGGTTTTTGCACACGACTGCACTAATCTTTTTCTACCGCTACTTGCAGATTCGCCATGCCTGCCACTGTTTCGTACACTTCGCCATGCGCGTACTCTTGCCGCCTTTGAAACTTAATCGTCCTACCTTTCACGGCAGCGAAAGGCGCAAGCACCTAGTTGTAGTGATGTACTCTGGATTGATTGTTGGCCTTGCGTGATGTCGACACTGGAAAAGAATGACATCGCCGACACCGTCATCTATGACAGGATGTGTTGAGGCATGTCCACTGCGGCCAAGTCCGAAGCCTTGAGCTGCATGAAATGTTGGATTGTTGGAGCATTGACAAGTTCCATGCGGCTGGGCATGCTGGAAGTTGCCAGTTCTGCACACTGAAGCACCGGAGGCTTGCACGGCGGCTGGCCAATGTAAACACAATCCATGGCGGAGCAATCCCTCTCGTGTTTCCGCACCAAGGCCAGGCATCTCCTTCATGTGCCTCTCTGCAACAACTACAGCCGAATCTATGTGGCACAAACAGGTGCAGGAGACAGCGTCTCTGCCATCGCCCCGCTTCGTCCAGATTCGTTCACAGCCGCCCCGCCGCCAAGGTCCGCAGGCGCCTGGCAAAACAACCCGCAAATGAGGCATGGGGTAACTACATGTTTGTGATGCAAACACGCAGGATCGAAGATCTAAACCCTAGGGCTCTTGTTCTCATGAGCTGTGCCGCTATGTGAGTATGCCTATGGTGGCAAGTTTGGTCCTGAATTTCCGCGATTTGCCACTGCCCAATTCGCGAACATAGCATGCCGCCGCACGCCGTGGCGCTAGACCGTGTGGTAATCATTCACCACTTTTTTGCAGCAACTCCAAGTGTTCTCGGCCGTGCAAAAGAACATTAGGCTCCCTCGAACACCCGCCACGTGTGTAGTATTATAGGGCTAACGAAGCACAAAACCCGAATAGCAGAGCTCGAAAGCACAAAGCTCCACGCTGTAACAGAGTCAGTTCTAAAGCCCACCAAGCCCTGAAGTCCATAAATCCGAAACCCCACGACCCCCAGACCTCCAAGCTCCTAACCCTGATCTTGGATGATCAAAGCCCAAACCCTACAGGCACGGAGGCCCCAGAATTCCAAAAGCCACGAGTCCCCACTACCATGAAGCCCCTAAAGCCCGAAAGCCTGGAACCTCAGCCCTCCAATTCCCATGCCCTGAAATCTTAAGGTTTTAAGGCCCTCAATGTGCACCAGGGGCAAACAGGTCCTGTTTAATTCCGAATCCCATTAAACTGGAAAGATGCAAGACCTGCAAGTCCTTAAGGCCTTAAGGACACGTGTCAATGGCCCTCTTCAATTGGCCATGGGTATACAACATTGATGCCGGAGAGTGATGGAGCTGATGACGACCCATGACGGAGCCTTCTGCTTTATACCCCCTGACGTGTTCGTGCCGTGCCATGGCCGTCAGGGGCGTGGTTCAGAACCGTTGTTCGGGAAACTGCGCTTACACCCTGAGCTCACTCCTCCCAATCAAAAGATTGTTGGCCTGTCGCTTGACTTCACGAAAACGGTTTATAGAGTACCTCTTGAGCGAATGCCCTCCTGTGTTCTTCAACCGTACATGTATATGTTCTTGGCGGCGGACTCAGCAAGCGCAAGTGTTTTACTCTCGGGACGCTTGCGTTGCACGACATGTCCAAGCTGAGCCTTCTGATGAAGACGTCTTTCGGCTGATCAGTGGTTCAACTGCATATCGTCACGCTGATGCTCAAAAAGGTACTGTGTTGGAGTTGTGGGTTAGTTAACTCTTTCTTGCCCGGCACTTTCTTTTCGTCGAAGCGCTGTCCCGCCCAGTTACGGACACGTTCACAGGTCACTTGGGGTGCAAAGACTCACAAGCTTTGTACCATGAAGGCCCATGACGCAAAGATCACGAAAGTTCGTTCCGGAGTCATGAGGTGGTTGGTACGTCTTGATTGCCACAATGCCAGTCCAATTTTGTGCTTTGTCTTTCTCGTTTCTCTCTCACTGAACGCCTGAGCACATGTCTGACCGAATGCTTGTCTAACCGAATGCTGGAGCGGGGATCTTCCAATGGTCGTTCAACGAGTCGATGCTGTTGATGCCCCAGATGTCACAATTGCTGCTGCAAGTGCTTCCAGGGATTTATTACGTCCTGCAGTTCCAGTACATCCTGCTACTGGTTTTGTTCGTAGAAGGATGAGATTTTGGAACGTTTTCGGGTTCCCAAAGTGCCGAATCAGTGATTGCCACGCAGGAATTGAAGGACATGAGGGATGCGAAGGAATCAGCCTCTGGCACGAGAACCCCAAAGTTTTATTACGCCAGCGGGAGGTGCGATCCATGCGGGGATCGTGAGAACTGGGGCAAGGCATGAGCTCACAGCCATAATCGATGGCAAATCCCTTTGCGGGCTGCGGTGGTACCTACAGTTCCGTTTACGTAGAGAGTCTTTATGTTCGCAGTTCAAACAAGCAATTCCCGAATCGTTTCGTCTTGGGGCTTTCATTAAGCGAGAGATGTGGTGCGGTTGGTTGGGGAGACAGTTTTTTGGCAGGTGCCCCAGGATGCAGCGTCGAACACATTCGAGCCAGGGTGTAGCAGAACGGACAAAGTTGAAGATGCTCAGGCTGGCCCGCCCAGCAGACCCTGTAGTGATTTTAAGTGTTGTCATGTTTTCCTGCAGAGCAGAGCAATCAGCATGTCAGCACGTGTTGTGAACTGTCGCGCGGGATGCCTGCCTCACTCTGGCTACCAGCAAACATATACTGTGAAGCCGGCCAAACTCCATTGCTCCACTCCAAACGCTGTACGTGTGGTTGCAAGCTTGTGAAAAGGTCGGGGCTGAGCAGGGGTTGGCTAGTGACCCGGCAATCTATGCATTTGGCAACATAAGAGGATGCATGGTTCGCAGCAGGTGCATGCTTGCCCTACAAGTTGTTCCGACACTTGAAGCTTTCAAAGAGGCAGTAGTAGGGCTGAGATTGCCCTAAACCATGAAAACTCCCTCTAACGATGGCCTGCAGCTATCCGAGGAGGCACGTGGAGACTTGGCTGACACTTGAACACTTGAAAGCACCCCATAGCACAGCAACCCTAATAGTCAGGTACGGGCAGCGCTGCGGGATGGAAAGCCCGTGGTGGCAGCTTTGCAGCATTCGGCAGCATGTGGCCGCCCTGGCCTGGTTCTCGCAGCCTTTTGTGGTTCGCTTCGCAGGCCTTGGAATCCACAATCATCTCGCACGGGATGCATCCATCCCAGCCACTTTACCTACTGTTTCTATCGTGCCTATGGTGCCTGAATGCGTGCTGCTACGTGGTGTCAGGCCATATCCTCAGAATCTGCAAACTGCTCAAGAAGTGGAGGCTCTGGTTTTGCTGCGCTTGCTGCTGTCGTTCTGCTGAGACCAGAACCCTGGCAGGCAGTCCTCCGTGATCGGGGGGTGGTTCCAGCTACAATCGGCATCTTGAAGGGTCAGGTGCATGCCGAAGTCCCAGGATGCGCCAGGGCCGCTAGGGCATGCTAGAGCTGTGCTGAGCACTAAGCATAGAGAGACCTGGAGCTCCAAGGTTGGGATGGATGCAGAACAACTGGAGGATTGGGGTTTCTAGCGTCTTTCGGAAGGGCCTGCCGCCAATTCATGTCGTCAATGTGGTAGGCTCTGGCCAAACTCGGGTTGGAGTGCCGGAAGGTGTGGCCGGCAGTGTTTTTTTGTTTGGAGGCTCTTGCTGAGAACTGTGTTCAGGTGAGTCGTCGAGACATCGCAGCGGTCTTGGCCAAGCGCCAGGAGACTGCGATGGCCGTGAGTTGTGAACTGATTGATGACCGGTCTTGAGTGAGTTGTCAATCAGGACGGTGCCACCACCGTGTCTGCGACCATGATTTTTGCCCACCAGGCTCGCTACAAATGTAGAAAGCAACGCGTTGAGAGGAGTTGTTGAGAGGTTGCAAATGTTGTGAGATGATTCGCAGCTTCATCTTGGTGGCAGATGGTTACAGGATCTCCTTTGCAGCGCAGGGGTGTCAAGCTCGTTTGCTATCAAGGTGGCTCTGGCTGAGAGAAGCCAAGCCGGAGCTAGCCGAGTTCGAGCAGCCAGTAGTCACAGCGTTCAGGATGTTCAGGCTCAGTCATGATGGGCAGGCTGGAATACCAATCTTCGTCACTGGTGGAATCGGTGGAGTTCATCGTGGGGCGGATGTCACCTGGGATGCCGGGCAGACAGACTCTTGGAAAATGTGGCTTAGCATTGAAGTGTGGTGAGGTGTCAGCAGACCTGACAGAGCTCGGGCGAGAGCCACAGCTTGCCGAAAGCCTCTGGCAGGGAAGCATGCCATGATTCCCAAGGCGAACTGCTGTTTGCGTTGTCTGCGCGGGTGCAAAGAGCATCCTTGATCTCCCCAGGACTGCCAGTGCACTTCTTTGGTAGCATCTCAGCTCATGACATTGATGCTCATGTGTTGGAGGACGTTGGAATTTCTTGAAACGCACTGCCGGCAAATCTTGCTGCTTGGGGTGTACAGTTCTATGGGATGCCTGACAACGTACCCGTCTTGAACACACCGCTTGATGGCCAGGCAGGGCGTCTGCGCATTACCCTAAGCTCCATCTTGGGAGAGCCTCCGAGCTTAAACGAAAGGGGTGCCACAAGATGCTGCGAGGTTGCTGGGTATAGGACCAACGACTTCCCGGCTTTCTTCACGCCGCTCAGCCGAGGGAGCTCCTGGGGTACTTTGCTCAATTACACGGTGTGATGAGGCCTCGCAGCGGCCTGCCGACCAGCTGCAGCAGCTCACCCAGAGAACCCCCTCCCAACTTTTGGTCCGTTGTCAATATTTGTGGTCTTGCTCGCGTTTCTGGCCAAGCAGCAAATTCTTCCGCCTAACCCTATCCAGAGCCAGCACGACGACAATTACATTCCGCACACGACGCTGTAGTGCATAAGCCTTAACAAGCTTTGACATGAAACCCCGTCGGTGTGCTGCTGCCAAGTTGTTGGCCTTGTGGAATGCCTGATCCTGTGTTCTAGGTGTCGATGGTCCAGAAGAGGCTCGTGGCTGCTGTTGTTGTTGGTGCCATGGCTTCCTTCTTCAAAGGTAACATGCATGACAGCGACGCAGCATGCAGGCTGCGAGAATCCTTGCACAACAGCTGCAGGCAAATCTTGGCTCTGCTCGGTTCTGATTTTGTTCTTCATTGGACACTCCTCGCTTCGAGGGCTGTGCGCAACCAAGGGCATTGTGCTGGCCGTGCCTGTGCCTGAGAGCCTGGCAGCGGAGGGTGCCAAAGTAGAGGACGCAACCAGGCACAATGGCATCATGCTCAAGAACACTGCAAGCTGTCAGTTGTCTTTGTGCTGCGTGTCTTTACAAGCCGCAGGGCTGCCGTGGAAGAAAGTATGAAGCTTGACATCCGTGGGAACGAGGCCTTCCGTCACCAAGGATTTGCAGACGAGCATCAGGACATGTAGGCATTGCAGGTGACACCTTTCCTTCTGAAACGCATAAACGAGCTCACAGGAGGGGAGTGCCTTTCCCAGCTTGCTGTGAAGTAGATCCTTGTCCACCTTCGGCCTTTGTTTTCCTGTTCAGGTCACTTCGCTCTAACATCGCTCTGGTTAAGCATAACGCCGAGGCGATGCCAAGCCCAGTAGTGTGATCTCCGGAACTGTAGTTGCGGTCTCGTCTGGTTTTCGCCTGCTCTCGTCGGAAGTTGTGATTTGATGGTCTTGTGAAGGTTGGAGCTGCGGTTGCCCTGGAGCTTGCAAAGCTGCACCGCATGTCTCGCCTTTAAAAAGCTCCTTTTCCGGGTATTGCTGCCACAACGTCTGCACATGGAGGGCTTTGCTGGTCATGATGATGGTGGCAGGCATGGCAACAGTCCAGGTATTCCTGGCTTATCATCTGGCCCTGCAGTTTCACAAGCCAAACTCGCAATAAATGAGAACGAGATGTAAGTGCCCAAGCCAGCTGTGAGATGGTTCTGCGTTCTAGTCTAGTGATGCAACAGACTTGATGCATCTTGATGCCAAAATCCCTCAGTCAAGCAGTTGTTGCCAGGGGTTCATTATTTGCCGAGGCAAACATTGTATAGTAGCCCAGTGCCATGCATCCACTTCCGGTGCTGATTGTCTATTTTCTGTCGTCACATGTAGTAGGGCTTGTCTGCCTGAACCTGCCCCATGCAAGAGCCTTCGCCGGGCTTCTGCGTCAAGTTTCGCGCCCAGAGGCTGCAGAGTGCAGAGGAATTGACCCAGCCAGCCAAATTCGCTGAAGGCATGGAGGGGAGTATGTCGGTGCAGTCGCTTCCCGTTCAGAAGGACTGTCAGGGTCATCATTGCAGCCTTTTCCAGAGAGGTGTTGCTGTCTGTTCCGGAAGCCTGGTCTTCGCAGGAGGATTCGCAGGATGATGCTGGTGAGAGCGTTGATGGCTCATTGTTGACGGAGAATTTAGGAGCAGGGAGCTGGAAATGCGTATTTCCTGAGCTCAGATTCGCGTACACATCCGCGTGCGGCCACAGACCGAGCGGGAGATTGCCATAGGCAGCGAGCAGGCGACGTCATCTTTGAGGCAATTTGTATTGCCAGGATTGGCATGCTGCCATTCAGCCCGGGCAGGCTGTTTTCGTGGATGGGAACTCTGTTGTTGTCAAGTCCGATCCGCCCAGGCCGGCAAATGCCAGCAACTTAAGGACTGATCATTGCAATGTCCTCCATAACGACTTCAGGAGCTTTACTTTCGATGGTGTCCTTGGAGAGTCGGCCACACAGCAGGACCTGCGAGGCTCCGTGATCCGTACTAGACTTTGGAGGGCGATCACTCTTGCAGGATGTTTTCGAATCACTGGGCAGGATGGCCACTCTCTGAGAAGTAGGACACTTAACCTCGCCGTGCCCCTGCCTAGTCATGAGGTTGGCTCCAGCTGCTTGGCGGGCTACAACGGGCGGGGACCTTGAAGCAGAAGCATCTCACAATGCCCAATGCTTGCGCAAGCAGATCCACTGCCAGATGCCCGACAAGTCTAAACATTCAAAAGTCCTCGAACACGAAGCGTCTGACTACTGGAGCCGCAGGCTAGGTACCTAGTTAGGCGGCCAAACAAAAACAGTTGACTGCGAGTTTCTTGTATCCCTTTGCGTGGTTAGTGCAATACCTTGGCCAGGAGCCGTATGTTGATCTCGAACTTCCTAGCCGCACGTTCACGCTGCGAGCAATTTGCACAAACTCAAAATAGCCCCTGGAGCAGATTTGGCGTGAACGTAGGCTACTGTAAGCAGCTGTGAGCGACCTGCGGCAGGCGCGACAGCTTTTGCGGAACACCCACCAAGTGAGAGAAACACACGGCAACAATGCACTGGTTTTGACCGCCTAGAAGAGCAGGATTCAACTGGGCATCTCTAAGGCGTTCCCAGAAGTAAATCAGCCTTGATCATTTGCGTGTTTGAGAACCAGATCCTGCCTCCAGCATCCTCCAGCAAAGATGGAATGAACAAAGTTGCCCAATCAGCAATCCAATCAAATGTACCTTATGGCCTTTGACGGCACAGGGAGAGGGCTAGTCCGTGGATCAGAATGGAAACAGACTATCACACGAGAAATGCTTCAAGTTCGCGATGGGCAGACGCGACGCTGAAAATCACAGCATGATAAGTATGGTAGAAAAGACGCTGCAGGAAAAAAGGCTTTCAGCACCAAACCACGTCCAAACATAGAACCTACCCTTTCTTGCTTAGTCTTCAGTTCAGAACTGCCCCTGAGTTCTTCATAGGAGCGTCTATGTCTATGGGCAGACGGGTGCCGGCAAGACGCACACCATGCGGCTCCCCGAGCTTCTGTTCCTCATGCGGGCAAAGTGCCGGCTCAATTCCTGAAGGTGCGGTCCAATAACCTCCGTGCAGTCCATGCAGCGGGATGCCAAGCAATTCGCAAACGCGAGCAGATAAAGATCTGACGTTCCAAGCTTTGCTCCAATAAGGTTTGATGAGCGTCGTGGCATAATCTGCCGAATGCTGGATTACATCTTCTCGGAGGACGGGCTGTGGTACTGTAGACTTTGCCCGCAGTTCTAGAATCTAGTGGCCTGTTCTAAGACTGGAGCTTTGAGTCGGCCAGCTGGATAGGTTGCAAGAAGAGGGGCAGAAGACACAGGGCTCGAGCATTCCTGTTCAGCCCTTGGTCGGGGATGCTCCTCCAGCAATTCTTGAAAGACCTGGCAGTGCATGTGGACTGATTGCGAGGCAAATGTTCCTTCCTGGAGATCTACAAGGTGCTGGCGGCCCCTTCTCTTAGATTGTTTGCCTGACTTGTATGGCTATGCATTCAGGAGCAAATCACGGACCTCTTGGTATACGGCTCAATCAGATCAATTTCACTACCAGAATGAGATAGCTGACAAGCTGAGGAACCTGCCAACACTAACCTACAAGTGCGGGAGGACGATTGGGAGCGATCTTAGCATAGGGCGTAGTGGCAGCTTCGAACTGAACGTGGTGCGACTTTGCTCTTCAGGGCAATCACACATCCGAAAAGTTTAGGGTTTAGGGCCTCGAGCGCTCAGAGCAGAAAGACATGCGCAACATGCACTGCTGCAGTGCCTTAGAGCCAGGACATGAACCGTGGCGTGTACGTGGAACGGCTAAGTGAAGTGACGGTCGGCTCCCTGACCGAAGCCTTTCAGGCTTGGCTCTTGCTTGAATTGAATCCGTCTCCAGCCCAACGAGATGTCGAGTCTGCAGCCAGGTACTGTGGAGAGGTCTGCAACAGCGGCAAGTAGGTGTGCAACCAAGCAGATCCGTTGAAAGTCCCCTCACCAAGCATTTTGTGCGGCAAGGCTCAACCCACATGAACGAGCGTAGCTCAAGATCACACGCGGTGGACAGCCCAGCACTTGCCTGGTGACTTCTTGCGAAAGGGGGCTTGGAAAGATTGGAGGTCTTTACCTTGTATGTCGAGGCAAGGAATGCTTTCAGCTGTGCTGCTTCAATGCTAGCATTCACTTGCAAGCCAGCTCGAGAAAGACATTTGTTGCTCAATAGCAGCTTGTACCCAAGACCCTCAGCCTGCACACGGACCTTCCAGACACATGTCTCACCAGTATCAACTGCAGCTTCAACAATTCTCAACCTCTTGAGCTACCTTTGGAGTGACTGGGCAGTCAGCCACCTGTTGCTGGCCTGCCGTCCCAGCCGCTCATGGAAATCATCTGCAGCTTGAAGAAATTCTTTGGCCGTGTTGTCGTAGTTTCCAAATCCATGATGAGGCCAATTTCAGGACAAGTTTGAAATAGCCGCTCTGAGGCTATGTTCCTTCAGACCTGCTGCGGCATCCTGCAGGATGTTCCATGGCAGCATTAGGAGGAAATACATTTCCCTTCCGTCATGAGCATATGAGCAGGGACGCCGCAGCCATCGTGCGCAGCTCTCCGGGCGGCTCACAGGACTGGCTGAAACTTTTATGGCACCTCAGTTTCACAGATGCTGCCCACCTGTGAGATCCCACAATTTAAAGGCGACGCAAGAGACGCGTGTCTGCTTCTCGTGAAGTGATTGTCACCGCGCTGGCATCTAGGATAACACTTGACTTCTTCGCTAAGTGTTCAGGGTTGCTTCTGCTTCTTCGCACCTACGTTGCTGATAGGCTTTCCAGTGCCATGTGCACAAGTCTGAAGTTGATACCGGTGGTGAGCATGTTCTGGGACAGTTTCGTCCATGGGCAGCTCTCCGTCGAGACGCCCAAACATTTCCTAACAGCAGGGCCTACTTAGTGCTCTAGTCATTGGGGTGGTGCCCGAGGTGCTCTAAGCATGATGAATTGAAAGAAGCTACTACAGCACGGCAGGTAGTGAGCCTGTTTCAGCAGACCAATTTCAAGACTCCATGTTCTGGTTGAGCGTGCTTCTTGCAAACAGCAACTTCATGATGGTCCCTCTGTGTGGTTGCTTCTAAGTTTGATGACTGATTTCAACACGCGTGGTAGGTGTTGCATTCGCTCCCTCACGGCATCAGTTCTCAAGTATCCTGTCGCACAAGAAGACCAGAACTGCCAGGGCATGAACCGAGAGACTTCACCTTCCCGTTTGAGCGGGACATCGGCAAGAGAACCCTGATCAAAACCATGGCCCTGGCACTGGCAATCTCAGCGTGGCGCAGTTGCGACAACTGCACATGCACGAGCCAACGATTCCTGTGATGAAGATCCGCATGTGGGTGACTGAGACATAATGAGACAAGCCAAGACAAGCTTCTTTCCTTGCGCAGCTGGATGACTAAGTCGTTTACTCCATCCTTTAAAACATCGCATACAAGCCAGAGGTATCTGTCCGCTTGAAACGTCCGGTGCTGGCAGAAAGGCATTTTGAGTTCATTAGTGTCTTGTGATTTGTGTGCAGCTGGAAGAACCGATTGTTGGTTCTGTTTCGGTACAAATTCATGAGAATTTGGCATCCTAGATGGGACAGACGCTTGCATTTGGTGACCTCCGCATGTAGCAATTCCTTTCCCTGTCTCAGCTGCGAGAGCTGCGGATTCCGGCGCCCTGGTTACAGGATTCCAGAACGAGGGACTGTAACAGATTTGAGAGTTGGTCTTAAACAACTGGCCACGCTGCAGAACTGGGCAAGTAGGCGCGCAAACAAATCTGACCATCCCAGCACCAAAGCTTACGTGAAGAGAAAGTTTGGCTTGTGCTATGCTTGCAGCTCAAAGTGCAAAGCTGAAGGACGCAGTGGCAAGCGAGGCCTGGAAGTCATTGGAGCAATGCGCAAACATTTCTGCCTGTGTAAGCCTTTCACATCTCAAGGTGAGGACAAACATGGCTCAGAAAGACGGCTTTCAACCGAAAGCAAGGCTGCCTGATGCAAGTCGTTGTGCCTGCTGCTGTCCTGCATCTGGTGACTCTCCTGTCAGTCATTATCTATGTAGCTGTGTAAAGCATGTTGACATATGTTGACTCCGTTGATACGTTTGGGACACGCAACATATGCAGCTCTCCAAGACTTCTTGCATCCGCGTTGACTCTACTGGCTATGCTTATGCAATTCTTGTCATCTGGGTGGGCAGACACGTCTTCTCTAATAGCAAGCAGCGATGAGCGTCAGAGACGGGTTTGACATGCTGCGATGGAGCAACCATCTTTCAAAGACTTTAGAAGCGCCCTTTCTGCTGGAATGGAGTCATACCGCAGCTGCGGACTTGCGACCTGACGTCTCCGAACTACGTCACCGAATTAGCAGTTTGCGTGACCACCAAGCATGGAAAACTCCAGTTGGCTCAAAGCATCGACGGCAGGGGTCACAACAACGTGAACAGCAATTATTTGGATTAGAGTTCGAAAATATGGCAACTGGCATGGAAATGCTCTATCTGGACCTATACTTCCAGTAAGATGCAGCCTTGTCTCATACTGCCGCCACCAACCACCAGGACCATCATCACCACGGCCGCCACGCCAAGCAAGGATTGCAAGCAACACCTGACGATGCAGGCTCAGGTTTCATGAGTAGTGCTGGAGCAGGAAGGCTTTGTCTAGTCACAGGATCTGGCCTGGGTTAATGTTCATTCCGGCTGTCACAGCAGAGGAGGTGCTACGTCAGTCGACCGACAATCTCATGACTTTTACCTGAGGAGGCATGACAAAGAAACGATTTCGAGGCGCACCTGCGCCTCCGACCCAACGGCCTTGTTTTCGTTGCTGCTGGAGTGCTCAATTGAGCACATTCCTGCTTTTAACGCAGAGCCGGCTTTATGCAAAAGCGCTTGGAGAATTGGAGAGGAGATGTCTATTACATTATCGCGTCCTTCAAGTATCCCACCAGTGAACCGCCATCTTTCAGGGGACCATTTGATGCCAGGTCGCCCAATCCGGTTGCAGTATTGCAGTTTGCCGTGAGACAACCTGGCTCACTGGCGCGGTAGGAAGCCGCCTGTCTACCTCCGGTCCTGTGGATGAACATGAGGTAATGTTCTTCTGGAGAAAGCTCGAAGGTCTCGGGTGCAAAGCTACATCACACTGCTGCCGAGCGGCACCCAAAGTGCTATGCTGATTTCTCAAGTATGTGAATGTGTATAGTATGCAGCGTGCTGTGCTGCTGCATGGATCAACTCGAGCATCAGTAGCATGCTCCGGACCGTTCTCTTGCTGCCACACATGATAAGCCGGCACCATTGCTTCGCGTGGCTGCGTGGAGATAGCAAAAAATAGCACGCAGCAAAGGATCTTTGCCTGCTTCTGCTGCTTGTCAAGTAGACCTTGCATTGGCACGTGCACCCTGGAAGGATCTTGCTGCGGGGCGTGTACAGAACTCCTCAGGCATCACAAGCTGCCTCCCATCCAGCTCAAGTAGCTGTTTTTTTCCGGACTGTTGCAAAGCCAGGCAGCCTGGATCTGTTGTGCATCGTGAGGCTACCCTGACGTTAAAGACCGGTTGGCCTCTGATGAATCTCGACCACTACTGGGTGAGTCGCTACCTTACCCCCGTGCACACAGTCAGTGCTCGCACTGTGCAAACTTGTTGACCTCGCGAGGAATTCGGAGGCCCAGACCTGGCTGAACCATGTCACCAACCAGGTGACTGAGGCCTGAAGTGATTTCAGGCTTACACTGCAAATGCATATACCAGATCTCGTTTCATGTGGTCCCTGCAAGGCCTGGGGCTTGTATGGCGACGGCGACTTAATGCCTTACCGGAAGAAGGCCCTGCAGAAGAGTCCGCGCAAGCCTAAGCTGTGCCCTAGCGACATTGACTTGGGCTTTGAGTCAAGTGAAGGTCAATGGTCGCCACGGGCCAGCGCGGCGCCGTGCGAGCGGCAGAGGCCTTCCATCACGTGGCAGAATTTTGTGGGTTGATTGGCGTAGAGCGGATGGGTTAGTAGGAAACCTGCGAAACGAGGAGAGCCTTACGGGAGATCAGCCGCCAGCAGCAGAGCCGGGGGTGGAGCTTGTGACGGAGGCCGTGGGGAAAGGATTCCGTGAAGGTCTGCAAGTTGGTTTGACTCAAGTTTGGGAAAAGAGACCCTGACAAGGATGGATTGCTATGAGCTTTTTCCGTCAGGGCTGAGGGTTGAGCATTTACCGGCATGGTGCGGTTCCTTCAAATTTCATTCATTGACTCGGGTTATTCTAGGGTGTTCCTACGGCGGTCCTACGGTTTCAGCTTTCAGAGTTTTCGCAACGATTCAGCTTGGATGGGGCAGCTTTCGTGGTCTCCGGACGGTTGCCCCGTGCGCTCCACCTCGGGACTTTGCTGGTTGCCTCCTCTTCTTTGTGGCCCTCCTTGTAGAAGAATGTTGCCCGTATGAGATCCCTGTGCCATGCTTGGGTCTTCTGGCAAGGAGAACATCATGCTGTCCCTTCGAGTCGTTCGCGGCAAGGCGGGCAGCATGGACAGTTTTGGAAGTGCCTTCTGTGGCGTGTTGCACGCTTGCTTCGCTGAAGGAGTGGCAACATGGTTTCTTGGCATCAGTTTACTTTGTTGCTGGCCCGCCATGCGTTCTAAAGCTCTGGCTGAAGACTCCTTTGACAGAGGGCGTGGTGGCAGGTTAAGCGAGCAGTAGGTGCGATAAGCAGCACTTAGCAGCACTCACATCGTGTGAAGGGGATGGTCTGCAGCGTGTCACTGTAAGGTGAAGAGGACGGCGGCCCAGGGTTTGTGGGCATTGTGCTGTCCTTCGACACCAAGAGGCTGACTGCACAGGCTGTCGCCCTCCTCATCTGTACTGCACACAGCCTGAAGTTCTTCAACTCATGCCAGGTGCTTTGGGAGAGGACTTGCCAGGCCTTCTCTCACTACCGCTATGGCACACGAACCTCGTCACAAGTTCTGCTTTGAACAGCGAAATGCAGATTCAATTGAGCGGTCGACTACAGTGTTCTGAATCATGTTATCTACTTGTGCTACATGTAGACATACTGCAGTGGGTGCATTGGAAATTCGTTCTGCCTGCAACGAAGCACAAAGCTGAGGCTATGGCAAGGCCTGGCGCGACCTGAAGACAACCAGCAATCTACTCATCACGCCAGCCTTCTCGCATACCATGCATACCTTACCAGCTGACAATCTTTGCCATTTCAAGTGTGAGGGCCCCTTTGCCTGAGAAGCTCATATACAGGGAAAGGAAGGTAAAAGCAGCAAATACTCGCAGCCTGTCCCGTTGCAGACCAGTGACCTGGCTGTCTTCAAGCCTGCACTGGGCGTTACACCAAGCCTTGGGAGGCGCAACTCGCAGGACCTCGGCTTTCATGAACATGTCCTCCTACTCTGCCTACCTTTTGTTTTGCAAGCTGCAAGATGCTTGATGCGTCACTCTACATCGTTTTGCAGGAGTTCTTTGCGACAAAGTTCCAGACTATGATCGTCCTTGATTGGGACGACACGCTCCATAGCTGCAAGTCTGCCTTGTGAGCCCAAGTACATTGAATAGCCTACATGCTTCTGAGGCTGTTTCCCACCAGCTACTTGAGGGATGAGCTGCGGCTGTCCTGGATGAAAGCATGGAAGGATCAAAACCTGCCTGCGAGACCTGTCGCTAGCTACAGGGCAAATGCGAAATGGTTCTTGCCGTTCAAGGTCAGGTGCTGTAATTGTCCGTGGACCCTGTCCAATGCCAAGTTTTGGGGCACAGTGGCAATTTCTCAGGGATCTCAAGCTTCGGCACTAAGGCTTCGGGCTTCAGGATTCTATTGAAAGCTTAAAAACATGATAGCTGCAGGTGGCTAGGAATTCCACGGTTTGCCTCGCTTCTAATCGAAGAGCTTCAAATGGCAGAGCTCCAATTCGTACAGATTACTTGACGTGCCCCAGTCTCAACAATTTCTTTGAGACCCCACCCACTAAGATCTGGCATGCTCTTTGGTGCAATTGCTTCGGTACCCCTTCAATGTCCAGAGGGCCTGATACCTGCGTAGCAGGAGGCATTTTGCTTGGATGTTTTTTGGCCTAGATCTCACAACTGAAGAGCTCGAAATCCCCGAGCGATAGTTCAATTACTTAATTTGGCTGAGTCTTGATACTTTCTCGCTGGTTTAGTCAACTTAGATCAGGCCCAATGCCCAAGCATCCTTGAGGCTGATGCCTCATTAGCAGGATTGAATAAAGGCAAAGTTTACAGTGTTTTCTCTCAGTGTGGTCCTCTTACTGCAACCTGGTTGAAGGTATGCTGTCAGGGACCGGGAACGAAGATATGCATGATTGGCTTGCACTGAGCACTAGCTGAAAGAATTGAACACTCTGGCTGCTAGTCTGTATGTTGTTTGCTTTCAGGAAGATGCACATGACTGTCAATCTCTGTATTCTGTTCCTTCATGTCTGTGAGAACCCTGAATACAGTTTTATGATTTTTCGCGAGAAACTCTCTGAACTCTAACACTGCAAAACGTGGGCCCTGACAGCGAGAGCGAGGGTAGAATGCCGTCCAGAAACTCTATGCTAATGCTAAATACACATGCTAATGCTGACGACCCCAAAATCATTTCAGGGGGGTTCGTAATTATTCAGGATCAGCTTCAATTGGGTGCGGCATTGCAGACGAAAGCGCTTGTCTCCAGACACAATGCTCCCATGCAATGGCTCTGAGGAAGCTCAAGGACGAGGTCGCTTCAAAGCTGGCGATATGTCAAACCAAGGCGGGCTGCCAAATGGAGATATAAAATTAGCTTCAGCTATCTGGGAAGGTTGTGGACCTTCTGAAACAGGCCACAGCAGCTGGAAAGGCCAGCGCCATCGTTTCTCTGTTTCCGTTTGTCATGCTCGGACATTCTGCAGGTGATACTTGTCACCCTTGCCCGCAAGCCTTGGGTGCTCGACTCCTGCAGGCACGATGGACAGAAAGTTTCTGGTTCTCACACAGACAACGCTGAACAGGAACTTCTTTCCAACAGTGGGTCAGGCGATCACTGAGCTTAGCGTCCTTTCCTCAGATTGGACCAACAGATGCTCGCCTGTCACCTGCTCGCTCCTCCAGGTACCTGTGATCTATGCCCAAGATGGAGCTGGGGTGGATTACAACAAGGCTTTTGGCCCTTCTGCTGTAAGAAGCCATGCTGCCCCACATGCAAGTGCACAGATCCACATGTCCTCGAATGCGGAGCTCGAGCGCTTCTGGAGTGGGATGAAAGCTCGCGCCATCGCGAGGCTTTAAGAAGCCTCTCAGTTGTCTCTGCCTTGCTTCTCACTTTCCTGTGTGGAGTCTTTGTGCAGGGAGTGTCGAGAATTCTACTCACAGTATGATGGGCAAAGCTGGAAGAACGTCATCTCCATTGGATGCTCGATTTGATGGGAAGTTGATGCTACATGAGTCCTGCATAGGGAAACCATTGTCAAGCCGTCATTTCGTGATGACTGGTCTTGTTCGGAAGTCGTCTTGCTAAACGGACTGCCTATGATTTCCCTCAGATTGGGCTCAGGTGACTCTGACTTCGAAAGGTTGGGCACCATGTTGGCCACGAAGGCCGTGACTAGCACAGCAGCTTTTTGCAGGGCCTTTGCCGGACTGCAACCACAAGTTTGCTAGGGCCCTTGCCAAGCTGAGCAAGCAGTGTCTGCAGCAGGACTACATGACCCAGACTGGCATCAAGAGCAGTGACAACACCGACAACTGCGCGGTGGCCGCGAGCTGACACTATAATACACTATCGGGTGGTTCGTATGTCCATTGATAGCACGTCGTCCATGGCTATGGGCTACGAAGCTGCTTCAGGTTGACGACCATGTCTACAAAGTGCGGACGACCCCCTACGGCACATCAAGAGCTGAGACTTTTTGTTGACGTATCACCCTTTCAGCTTAAGAAGGTTTAGGTGCTTCTCCTCGCCCCGCTTGTACAGGAAGACTTTGAAGATGGTGGATCAGCCCTCGATTGATGAGCTCAACACGCAGTTGGGACTACTTCGCACCTGGCTGCCCCTCATGGTGGGGGCCTTAGCTGCTGCTCCCAGATGTGGAGTTCCCCTCATCATCGCTCTGGAGCCTTGCGTTGATAATGTCCAAGATCAAGCTCGACAGCGATTTCGATTTGAACCTGAACAACGCCGCTGACCCATCGGCCCATGTCTAAGCTTGAACCCCCCAGAATTACAGCCATGCGTGCTGGTGCAAGAACTTGGTTGCTGAGACTTTGAAGCACATCACGACGACCCTCTGCGGGACGAATTGACCTTCAGAGGGGAGGCGCTTTGGTCTTGAGGTCCGACAGGGGCGGCTAATGCTGCAGAGTGGCTGGTAGGTGCAGCCGGATAGCGGCACCTGCCAGCGCAGTGTACACAGCATGTGAGGTTCATTCCAAGACATGGTCTCCGAATGGGTGGCAACGTTTGAGAAAGTAAAGATGTTCTGCGTCTGGAATCAGCCAACATTTTCTGGAGTTGAAGATCCCAATCTCCCAAACTTGAAGGCTGTCCTTGAAAAGGCAGCCTGCTCGTTTCACCTTTAGGTAGTGTCTCTGCCTGCAGTGGCACTCGGCTTAGAGACAGGCATTTAAGCAGTGATGCAGCTACTGCTGACATTTCAAGTCAGCAAGCCGATGCCTCAACAACATTAGAAAAGCAAAGTCTGGTTGGCGTCCAGCAAGAGAATGTGTCGAATATGGTCAACTCGCGCAAACTGCTTGCAAGTTGCCAGGCGGCGCGAACACGTTCTGGGGTGACTTCCACACGGGCCAGCGGCCCAGAAGACGGCGACGGCTCCCTGCGACTCATTCCTCTTCGATTTGCAGGTCGCGAGCTTGAGCATGGTGGACTTGGCAGGTTCTGAACGTCAGCAGGCAGTTTGAAAACAACATCAGTATACGTCAATCAGTAACGTCTCAGTACACGTGAGTCAGTGTGTGTCCCTCCTTTCTTTCAGAAAGCCACCCCCCGCCCTGTGCAGCATCTCGGTGAGCCTGGCACGAGCATGGTTCAGCCTTACGACCCTGGACAGCACTGAACTGCAACGTACTTTACAGTGCTTAGCATTACAGTTTTTAGCATTACAAGCGTTGCAAGTGTTGCTCAGGAAGCCTTGCGAGTCAAGGAAGCTGGTGCCATCAACAAGAGTCGTTCACCTGCATGATTGCATAATTGCATGTGAAAACACATGGCTGATGCCATGGGTGTTTTTGACACTAGCATATCCCACTGTAATTTCTTGAAAGCACACAGGTCTGAGTGCACTGACCAACGTGATCATGTCGTTGTCCAGGGAGGAAAGGCTCCTTTTTTGTTGCTTGAAGATGGGCCACCCCTTCGGCAAGGGCTGCACCAAGCCTTGACGAAAAAAGTCCACCGGGCTATGGGAGGTCACGCAAACGAAGTGGCGACGGTCGACGCTTGGCACCCAGACTTGGGAAGTTCTTGATGATCGAGTTATCTGTGCATGCTCCTAATTGCTCCTGCGCATTTTCTCGAGGCAGCACTTATGTCCACTATCGTGACAGCAAACTGCTTCCCTGGCTGGCTTGGGGCAGCTGAGGGTCAGTCACTGCTCATGTTGCATGCTAAAGCGCTATGTGCAAGAGCATTAGTCTCTGCCAGGACATTTCTCTTGCGCGATTCATTGGGTGGAAATTCGAAGACCGCGTGGCACTTTCCAACAGCGCTACTTGCTTCTTTTTGCGACGTTCTTGGCAGCTGAGGTCATTGTGGCAAATGTTTCTCCATCGCAGCTGTGTTTGTCAGAGACTCTCTCCACGTGCCTGGGGCGATGTTTGCATTTGGTGTTCGCCTTCATGAATTCTGATTCCGTGCCAAGACTTGAGATTGTGTCTTGCTTGGCCCTGTTTGCTACTTGGTTTAGACCTGGCTTGCATGGGTCGTAATCTGCCCTGGCCAGGTTGAAGTTTGCCGCTCGTGCAAAGCACATTCGCTGCACAGTGGTTCGGAATGAGGCAGCTTTCTCGGGCAAGTCAGGGTGAGGTATGACGAGCCAAATCGAGGCTTTCAGTGGCACGGTGGACAGCCTTATGGAAGAGGCAGCCTGGAGACCTTTTCCATATTGAAATTGTACTTTGTACATGCCAGGAGTCTCAACCCTGACAGGTGCAGATGCTGCGCAAGCAGCTGGCCCAACTCAGTGGCGGGGCCCTGAGGATGCCCACTGGCAAGCTTCTGACGAACATGGGAAGGACTGCGCGGGGCTTTTCTTCGTTTCAGGCCGGACGTTCGACTCCCGCACGTCTGCTCAGTCTCGTCCGCCTGGATCTCAGATTCACTGAAGCCGCTTGTCAATGGGCAGCGGCCGGCCACTGTTTATCATGTCCTGTAGGCTTATGTCATCTGGGAGCATCTCTGAAGGCATCGAGGCACTTGACGCTTTGTTTCGTTGACCAGTCAAGCAGTCAAGCGCAGATACGAAGGATGAGCCTGAAGCTGAAGACATGGGCTCCCGAGATGCCGGACATGATTTCGAGGCGTTCTGTTTCTGGGTTTTCTAGGTTGGGATGTCTACAGCTCTGACTATTCTGACTTCAGGATGAGTCGCACCACGACCGGCAGAGGGTGGCCCGCTTGGAGGCAGCGTGAAATGGATTCAGACTTGCCTTAGGTCAGAGTCAAGGCAGTCAAGGGGTGCTTTTCGAGGTGCTCCTCTCCGCAGCTTTGGAGCGCGAGGCCTCCGCAGAACAGCGGCGGCACCGCCTGAAGCGGCTGGCTACCTTCCTGGAGGCAAGTAGACGACAAACAGGCGCATCTTCGGAGGCCTTCATTGTCAGTGTCGCAGGATTTGGATTTCCGCAAGTGCCACCGCTTGCTCCAAGCTTAGGTGTGCCAGACCTTGTTTAGGCCAAACACAGAGTTCACGGCTAGCACGCTGCTTTCAAAATCTGAGGCGGAAGCTTCATGCCGAGTATGTTACCCAGTTGGCGCCGCAAGTGGAGGCCGCTGTTTCTCTCTGGCACAGTGTGTGAATGCAACAGGCTTGCAGGCAGTGACCATCGGAGTATCTGTGGCTTATGGATCCAGGATTTAGACTCTAGACGCCACTGCAAACATGTGAGCCGCAATTCTCCCGGCAGGCTTCAGCCATTGCAGATGACATGGAAGTCCAAGAGCTATCATCAAAACTCATCAGCCTGCACCGAGAAAAAGCTTCCAGCCTGAGCGTTTACTGCGTGCTGCGGCAGACAAGGCTTCGGCCATCTCCTGGGAAACCTGACACGAGGCGGGAGACATTAACGGCGGTTATTGCTGCATTCAAATGACTTTGGAGTGCATGAGGAGCTCGACTGGAGGATGGGGCCTGCGGCCCCAGACTTCCTGCACTAGGCCACTACAATTTGTAAGGCAATCCTCGTGTTCCTGTCAGGATTATGGCGGAGCTGACTCTGATGCGCAGTCCACAGCGAAGAGCTTGGCGACTCGGGTAGCTGCAGGCATGCTCCAGTGCGCATTGGGAAGGTTTCCTCTTCTCGGGTTGTTTCTCAAGTTGTTTGTCTGTAGGTTGAGTATTCCCGACCTGCCAGCTGTGTCTATGCTATGTTTTTCACAAAACTTGATCCCGCTGCTTCTCCGAAGTTGTTCTTTCACCTGGTGTTTTGACAACGTCTGGTCAGCATATGCGAACGAAGAGAGAATTCACAGAGATGGATGTCAGCACTGAGTCAGCATGCCAATCTCGCTTATTTTTGGCTAGCTTTACTGTCATCTCGGCAGGAACCAACGTCGAGCTTAAATTCTGACCAGCGAAGCCCGATTCAACCTGCAGAATATTGTGCAAACTCTGCTCAACAATTGCATCAAAACTCTTTCGCATACGAGTCTGTAAGTCCATGCTTCATGAAAGTTTGCCGGCGCTTTGTTTGCTCTGGTTTATGTTTCACCCCTACGGCTGATGGTGAGACAAACCTGTGTACCGCAAAACCATGCCGCATGGAGAAACTAACTTTGGCAAACTGCCGCTCCAGCTTCTCGGGGAAAGCCTGGTTACTAGTTGGTCCAGGCAGTGGCTGTATTCGTGAACGGTGCGAAAGCATGGAAACCAATGAGCAAGCAACGACACAAGGCAGAAACGGCAATTGAAAGAACACTCGAAAACTAACTCTCGCCGTCGCATGGCAAGCATGATATGTGTAGCAACTTCCTGAACTTCACTGCACGTTTGACAGCCATGAAGGCTGAGTGGGTAGGCAGGCGGATGAAAATAGTTCCACTGCAGAAGCTGTTGGCCTGCCAACAAAATCAACAAAACGGGACCTCGAAACACCAACTAGCTTGAGCTGACTTTGCAGTCGGTTTAGATTTAACACTTGTAGACTAGGCATGGCGTAGTTTCAACAATTAGCAACATTATTCCGAGATTTGCCTAAGGAAGCCTGCAGCACGTTGGGAACCAAGGCTTTTGCTTCCAGAAGCTTCTGTGGCAGATGAGTGGCAGCAACTTCCCATTCCAGTGCTTCTGGCTCAAGCACTTTCTCTCGTGTTGTTTTGCTTAAATCCACTAATTATCCTCAATCTGAAGCTCCTTGGCAAATTTCAACTTGTGAAAGGAATTGGAGGGAATGCTTGCAAGGAAAACATCTGTGTTAGCTTCCGAAATGGGATGTTTCCTTGTAGGGCCCATTTGCATCACAAATCTCCATCTCTCGGAGATTTTATTTTATGCCCCCTCATTCTCAGAAACTAGCAGATTGGAAGTGCTCCAATTGAGCAAATTCAGATCCGGCATCCTGTCATATGATCCGTCATGGAGGGGTAATCTCGTGGAACTCTTTTTGAAGTCCAAGGCGCAATGATGTTGAAAACCCCGCTTATGCTGCTGCTGGGTCTTGCCCAGTGGGCAGCTTGCCTTTCTTGGCGTCACCGCTGCTTGTGAGGTAATTGTGCAGAAAATACAGCTTGTTTGCACCCTAATTCTTCTGTGAGAGACAAAGGCATGGTTGAACGCTGGAATGCGGCCAGCGGCTCCGCTGCAGAACGTTCAGAGATGTCAAGAGTTTCCACTCTTGCACTTGCTGTGATGCCATCGCCTTGTTGCCCAGACCATCTCATTTCGAGTCGTGGACGGACCCCAACTGGCGACTTTCCTGATTTATGCAGCAGAGGCTAAGTTCTACAAAGTCTTCTCATCGTGTAGCGAGACACATCAGGAATGCAATGCTCTTGTCGACCTGGTCTTCTTGCTCGATGGTAGCTACAGTGCAGCTTGTCCGGAAATTGCGACCAGAGGATGCTGCCATGATTGCTCCTCTCAGATGCCATCATGTTGCCAGTCTAAGGTGGAGGACTCGGATTGGAAAGCGTTGAAGGAATTTGTGTCCAAAACGGAGACTTGCTTTCAACAATAAACTCTGGGCGACAGTGTACGCGACACATGTCTGTGTGCAGGTTTTGAAGGACATTCGCTTTGTCCCATAAGCACTTACTTTGGAGAGCTTTGACTGTTGCCTCCTAATGTTTGGCAACACGCTTGTCCTCCGGTGGGCACCTGTTGGTGCAAGTCCCTCTCACACATAAGTCCAGCGGAAGGTGTTCAAACCTTGCAGCAAGCCAGACCACGTGAATAAGTGCTTTAGCTGCAGCTAAGGTGGCTCGATTCAATATCGGACCTGACAAGATGCAAGTTGGCTTTGTGCAATACACGCACGATGCCAGAATCGATTCTTTGCTGCGATGCGAGAGGGTTGCCCGATGCCTTGCAGACTTTGGATAACAGAGAAGCCCTTCCTTTCTCAAATTTGTGCAGTTACACTATAAATGGCTACCAGGAAATGCGCTTCAAGAGCAGCTCCGCGGACGTGGCCCAGGGTCTGGCAAACCTTGACCAGAAGGGAGGGAACACCAACCTGTCCGTGGCTAGTCAGCATGAAGACCGATGCCATGATCTGCGCAGCTTTAGTTGTCCACCTTGTTTCAAGGATGGGCTTGTCAAGTCCAGGGAGCTGTTCCTGGATCATAATCGCCAGGCTTGAGCTTCTTGCACGTGTAGAGCTAAGTGAGTTTCGCCCTCTTTCAGGCCAGCCGCTTTCTCATCATTGTCTCAGACGGCGATGTTGATTACGAAGCTCCTGAAAAAGCGCGGAATATGGAGCAGAATGAGAAGGTGATCATTTTCAGCAGCCTGGTTGCAATGGGCCAGGAGTGGGCCAGGCAAAGTTGTTGTTACCTTCGGCAGCAAGGTGTGGCCGTGGGTGAGGATGCTGACGTGAAGGACCTGAGAAAAATCGCCACAAGCCCTCAGCTGTTCTTCCAGGCAGCGCATGGCAGCACAAGTGCGCTGATGGGCACTGAATGCGCAATTTTGGGTTTTAAAGAAATCTGGCCTAGCCCCCTGCGTCAACTTTTGCGTCACTTCCTGTACAATGACATGCGCAGAGGAGTCCTTCTCTGTTGTCCAAACGTTTGCTGGAAATGTTGCAGCGGCATTCTTACAGTCCATCAGAGATTCCAGTCTGAAGGTTTCCAAGTATGGCATCCTTGACAAGATTGTGAAGACAATGGCCAAAGACGGCTGCTACATTGCTGAGCAGGCCTCTAGTCTGAAGAGAAAATCCAAAATCAGCGTAAGGAGTCGCACCAGTGGTGTACAGGTCTACAGGGGTTGGTGCAGGCACTGTTTTAAGTGCAGGTGGGTACGGACACCAGCATCAAAGACGTCAACTTTGCAGCTCTTCTCGGAAAGCAGGCTGCCTGAAAGATGATGGGCATTTGTTTCAACCATACCAGTGATGAAGAACATGCCTGCCTGAAGGAGAATGCGAATGTTACCACGGAAACAGAGGAGGAAGAGGTACGCATGCTTGCTGTTGAAGGTGTGATACATTGTGTGGTGTTGTTAGCCTATTACCATGTCACCTGGAGATCTTTGTTGCGAGGATTCCGACTCAATCCAGGGTATTCTGCCAGAATCTTCGGATCAACAGGCTGGGATGAAGAACATGAAGAATGAATGCTGTACACCAACACCGTACCAGTCACTATCAGTCACCCTGTGACCGAAAGAGAATCTTGAATTGTACGCTGCAGGGAATGGACGTCGTCTTTCCCTGGAGCCAGCATGAAGTAGCAATGCAGGAACATTCCGGCGAGAGCGGCGAGACCCCTGGTGTCTTCGATCATCAGATGGAAGACGCTTGGCGAACAATCAGCTGACGCCGCACGCAGCATTTTGTTGCACATGGGGGAATCTTTGCGTGGGACGTGTGTAAGAAAGGGTTCTCTGTTGCCTGGCTTTCTGTCGAGGACGAACCGGCCATGACAGCTGTGCGCAAGATGACGCCTGAGGCAGAAGCTGGGATGGCGCATACCACGTACACTTGCGTTGTACATGAGGGAGCCAACTGAAGTGATACAGGAAAGGATGATGCCAGTTCCACACGCAACATGCTTGAGAATTCCGTGTGCAGCTTCATGACAGCTCCTGAGCTTTGGAAGGAAGCTGTTCCCCGAAGCCCGCGGCTGATGCATCAGCAAGCGCTGATTGTCAAAGTCTGTTGCCGCATATCCCCTTCGTACGCAGCGCTTCCCCCTATGCCAAGGTTTGGAGCTGCCGGTCTCGAATTCTGATGAGTCGGCCTCGTGCCTGCACGCAGTCTTTTGCCGTCCTGGAAGTGATTTTATGTCAGCCGTTGCTTCAGGAGGTGGCCTACCTGCGGAAACGGGTTGAAGAGCTGGAGCAGAAGTACCTGGAAGCAAAGCTGGAGGTATTTCTTGCTTTGTGCTTACGGTTCATGCCCACTACACTGTTGTTTACCGTTCATGCCCAGCTCTGTACATTGCTTTTTAATCCTTGCAGGCAGAGCAGGCAGAGAATCGGCCTCCTTGCCCTGAAGTTGGCAATATCGGGTCGAACATCGAGGCCGACTTTCCTTCAATCTTGGCACCTTTTCTTGCTCCTTAAGTGGCAGGATGTGATTCGCCTGGAGAAGGACATGTGATCTGCCAATCCTTGCCATCCATGCAGCTGTCCTGAGCACGCGTCACTGTACTGCACTACTGCAGTGGATGTTTGAAGGACATGATGCGCAACCAGCAGGTCGCTGCGCACATGGCCTTGTTGATGCGCAGTGGGCTAGAACCACGTTTGCTGCAGGAAATGGTGAAGAACCAGGAGTCCATGCAAGGCGAGCTTGACAAACTGGCTGTGCAGGACTGCCAGGGTAACGCAAGTTTTTGTCATTGTTCCGCTTCCTGGCTGCTGGAGCTTGGCAATGAAGAGCCCGTTCCAGGAGAGCGCCAACACATCTT